TTGGTGTGTGTTATTGTTTCCAATCAGGCTGGCTGACCCCAGAGCATGGCGTGCTCACTTGGGGATGCGAATACAAGGCCATGCAAAGTTTGTATCTGCAGTGAGACGGATCATTGTGCACGAATACTACAACAGCAGGAACTATGACTATGACATTGCGTTGCTGCAGCTGAGCAAGCCATGGCCAGATACAATGAGCCATGTCATTCAGCCAATCTGCGTGCCTCCTTTCTCGCACAAAGTTCGCAGTGGTGAGAAGTGCTGGATAACAGGTTGGGGCCAAAAGCAGGAAGTGGGTGAGTTTAATATCCTCAGCTGCAGGCTTGTGTGCAGGATACCTGCCTCTGCTTCTGGGGCATGCACAAAATTGTAATGCTTTCAATTTGCTTCCCTCTGGAAGTAGGTTCTGGTATGTACATACCTTCATTTGCTCAGGAAAATTGGCTACCACTCCTGTGGATCTAGAAGACTTGAGTGCTTCAGCTAGCTAAAACTTAGAGGAAGCTGCACTTCCTCTGAGTCATGCAGCATCATTTTTCCACTTTGTTACTCTTGGAGGTGCATTAAGTGCCTAAATGGACTTTTCCTTGCCTGCTGCAAGGAAATTAAATTAAGGCCTCCTGCCTTCAGCCTCTTCAGGCTGAACAGTCCCAAGATGCTGACCTGCCAATAGTCCAAATACCTTTAGGAAGTCCTATTTTCTTTCCAAAGTGGGAGGGGGGGGGGAAAAAAAAAAAAGAACAAGGAAATCTTGAGGCTTTTTACAAAAGGTATTACAAAAGGCTTTTTGGTCAATCTTGTTAAAAGGCCAAGATCACATTATATAGATGCATGATACTTAGAAGTGGCTTTCCTTACTTTGATAGTTGGCTATTTGGAATAGCTTGGAGTTCAAACATATACGCAATATTTTCTGAAGTCTTCATGGCTTTGCTTTCAATGAATAAGTAATATGTTAAGCTCTGTTGAATCATGTTCCTTTCAATTTGTTTTCCAGATGATGAAGGTGCTGCAATTCTTCAGAAAGCAGAGGTAGAAATTATTGACCAAACATTGTGTCATTCCACATATGGAATTATCACAGCCAGAATGTTTTGTGCAGGATTAATGTCTGGAAGAAGAGATGGGTGCAAAGTATGTACTTCAATACAACTCACAAGTTTATTTTGTCTTTCTTTGTCCCATGATGAGGCATAAGAACTGACTGGCAAGTTGCCTCATTTTACTGAAGCACAGCTATGTAAAAGAGCTATCAACCAGTCTGCAATTTGGGTATTCTCAGAGATTTGCTGCTTGATGGGCATGAATAGGATCATGACTCTTCAGTCGCAAGCCTAGGTCCAGAGAATTTGCACATAGTGGTGTGGTGAAGGCAGGCTATTTCTGGCAAGAGGGTCTCTCAGCTGAAGAAGAAACTGAGAACCTACCTTGACTTTTTTTCTGGATTCTTTTCTCTGGTGTATGACTACAGGGCAGTCAGATAAGATGCAGTCATCCAGATATAAACTTTCAAATGCATAATATTTCTGGCAGTGCTGTAAAATAATAAGTGAAGTTCTGAATTTTCATTTGTTGTAGCAGGTGAAATTGCTGGTTTTTATGATGATGATTTGGTACCTTCAATATATTCTAGATTTCACTATGTAGAAGTAAGACGCCATAGTGGCTCTTGTGGCAAGAAGTGTCTGAGGGTTTTCTGTGGAATATCATGTACCAGCTGTTTGCTAGCAGGTTGTGAGACCACTGACGTCAAACATCATTTTCATTAACTGGAGAATTTGTTTCTTTGCTTATCTCTCTGGCCAGTCAAGACAGAACTACTGAAAGGCATAATTCAACGTCCTGGAGGTGAATTTCTGCAATGTCTCAATACGTTGGGCAGTTTTTAGAGCTGAGAGAATTGTAGGAGTTCTGTTTTATGAAAATTACTGCTGTTTCAGTTTCTTTTTGTCCCAGTAATTAAAGAGAAATTTAAATGTTTATCTCTATAAATTTCTTAGTGGTCAAGGATAAAAGATGGATCTTCAAAGTTAAATATTTAATTTTGTGAGACAATTCAAGATGATCGTGCTTTGGGTAGCAGGTGGCTTTACTAGGTAATCTACTGGTATGCCTTCCTACCTGAATGTTGCAGAATCATATCACAGAATCATAGAATGGCCTGGGTTGAAAAGGACCATAACGATCATCTAGTTTCAACCCCCGTGCTCGGTGCAGGGTCACCAATCACCAGACCAGGCTGTGGTCCTTTAAAAGTTAAAGCAAAATAGTTCACTGATTCTAGCAAAAAAAATGTGCATGGAAAGAAAGCATCCCCTTGCAAACATTTAAATCTTTCCAACTCAGGTTTTGCTTCTGGAAATCATCTTTTACATTCAATGATTTGGCAAAGCTCAATTTGCTAGCAGTTGTTTCTGAGAAGTTATGTCTACAGCTGAGTTTTTCAGGAAAGCTTAAAGTTGATTCAAGAGACTTTCCCCAAACAGTGGCATATCTTTTGCTTGAGCTACTGTCATATTTTTAGGCACTGTGTACCTTTAAATATTATCTACTCACTTATATCTACTATAAGACAACAGTTAGTTGGGGGAGAGGGGGTGGTTGTTTTTTGTGAAGAAAAACTAAATATTAATATATTCAATCTGTTTCATTTGCTTTTAATTTGAAAAAAGTGATATTGCATGTTAAACACAATGATCACAGTTTTATTTAAAAAAGAAAAGGCTTGGTATTTGGTGTCCTGAGGTGTGTAACCTCTAAATGGATATACATATTTAGTAGCAGATTCTGGGTTTAGCTTTGAGACTTGAAAGTAAATTTTATGATTTATGTTTCAAATTCACAAAGTAGCATCCTAATACCTTTAAAGAGTGCCAGCTAGCTCTCTCTCCTGTGAAAGAGTAAACTTTGGTAGAACTGTGTAATCCCATCTGCTTCAAGAAGAGGAAAAACAAAGCAAAGAATTCTAAAGTTAGAAGTATACAGATGGGAAAATATAATCACTGTTGGAATTCGTCAGGAAAAATATCACCCATTGAACTTTGTCCCATTTTTAATTTTCCAGATTTTAAATGCATGCAACTTTTTCTTTTTTTTTTTTTTTTTTTTTTCAGGGTGATTCTGGTGGGCCATTGTCATGTCAAAGCAATGAAGATGGAAAATGGTTTTTGACTGGCATTGTTAGCTGGGGTTATGGATGTGGAAGACCAAATTTTCCTGGTGTCTACACAAGAGTGTCAAATCTTGCCCCATGGATTTATAAACATGTGCCTTCAGTCATATAACTTGAAAGCTATTTTGCTGGAATAAAACATGTGCTGGATATCTTCATTAAAAAGCATGTTAGGCTAAAAACTGTTCAGTGTGGGAATTTCTTTGCATGTTTCCCTGATGTCACAATATTTGATTCTGGAGTGCGTATATGGCAGTAACAAGCACCTTTTGTTCAAGCCTCGGGGAAAGGAGAATCGGAGAAAAATCAAAGGAAAAAATCTTGAGATTGCTCTATAGAGATATTTGGGGACACTGGAGATGTGGAAATAAGCACTTGGTCCTTTTTGCTCTTTTTACATGGCACATGTTATGTGTAATCTATCAGGAAACTGAAGATACAGCTGACTATCTGATGGCAGCTTAAGTCTGACTCACATTTTTCCTCTCAGCTGTGCATACAGTAATTAAGTGTGGCATAGCAGTCAGCCAATAGTACTTTTGCTAATCCTGGTTTTCCTGCCCTTTCCAGTAGAGAGAGAGAGAGAAAATGGATTGCAGCAAGTGAGCTTAATCCTCTCAAGTAGCAGGACGCTCATTTTTGGAGATCAGAAGTTCTGCAGATAAGCATGGAACAAAGCATTAGCAATATACCTTTTCCAGCTTCTGTTTTAATTGTCTGCATGCTTTGAAACTACTGTTTTATTTCCTGTCTTATTTTCCCCCTAGTGAAGATTTTCCGTGTATCATCCACCTGAGAATTTGATATATATATATTTTTTTTTATCTTCAGGCTACCTTGACAAGATGCGTAAATATGATGATGTTTGTTACTGCAATGGTCTTGCTCTTGTCCACATGAAATTGATTCTTCTGCTCTCCGATAGGTGTCTTGAATCATCACGTATTTGGGTTCTCTGAATGTATATATCGTAAACAAAATAATAGATACTGATTTCATTTTTGGAGATGATGAAAAAGAGATTTCATTTAGTCTGAGCTCTTCTTAGGGGTTTCTTTTCCCTAAAAGAGAGGGCGAAGTGTTGGCCAGTCAGCAGTTCGTGCACACAGTGGAGGTAGACTTGTAGGAAAAGGAGGATGCTAACAAAGCAGTCTGTCTACAGCTGTATTTTGCATTCCTGACCTGTAACGATTGCTTTCCAGTTAATCCCTTCTGTAGTCACCATGTGACCTATGTTTGACTTTGGTTGTTTCATTTTTTGTTTTCTGGAGTACAGTTTCCTAGGACCTCTTCTGTGTTGTTTGTATTTTGCTCCCTCTATCCAGCTTTGTTCTTGTTCTTGGCTATATACACATGAAGGTATCATATGTAATGCGTAATTTCCCCATGTGAATCGTCAATTTTCTTCATTCCTTTTATGTGCAGAACTCTCTGAAGTTGTTGGCTTGTTGACTTGATGTCATTTTCAAGTCTGAATAGGAAATACGTTAATTGCTTTGCAGTTATGTTTGTTCTGCTGTGCAGGTTTAAGTCTATCACACTTAAAACTGGAAAATTCAGGTGATCTTTTGAATTGTTTTCTCTCTTTTATAAAGATTTATGTGGATCCCATCAGGTGTTCTTTAGAAATTACAGTATTTATTCTAGATCTGGAATTTTTCTCACACATAGATTGCTTGTGTGTCCTTTCTGTTTCAAATAATGGGATCTGTATCTTACTCTAGCAGTTAGGAAAACAAAGAGTTACAGTGACGGCGACTTTTCCTCCCCACCTTCTTTGATTGCAGATCAGCTGGCTCCAGCTTTCAGCAGTATGGCAAAAGTGAAATGAGAGAAGCCTGGTGTGCGAGCTGGTGAGCAGTACGCTATTACTGGTTTATGTTTAAGGAATGAGGTTCATCTAGGATTTTTATTATTACATTTCTCAGAAGGCGTTTCTCAAGGCATCATGACACAGGCTTTTCCCTCCAGACGGGTTTCTGTGTACAGCATACCAGATCCATACCACCCTGAGCAGGCTGATGGGCAGGTAAGAGACAACAGTTGTGCTTTACAGCAGGAGCACAGTAAGCAGTCTCTCTGGCACCTTCTGACGCCTGCAGGCCTCTGTTGGTGTGTATTGATCTCTGCTCTTCGTATGTAATTGCTTCTAATTAAAGTGACAGCAATTTTTTTCTCTTTCCCACCCTGACCTTTTATCATTTGAAATGCAAAAAAGCGAAATGCATGGGTTTTGTGTGTGACATATTATGAAACACATTGTCTTAATCTGTTACTTTGTATCTCTGATAAAAACTAAAAGAGCAAATATACTGAAAAATGATACAATGGCTCTCTTTGTGTTGTCATCCAACTGATGCCACCCTATGTGTCTTTCTCTAGGAAAATCTGTATATTCACTACTGCACATCCTACCAAAATGGCTTGCATCAGAAGTACTATTTCTTCAAATGGATGAGACCATGTTTCTGGAGAAGATGGCTTCTAGGAATACTATCTCTAGTTTCTTTATCAGTTGCAGTAGTTGTGCTAGTCCTGCACTATTCGTTCTGTAAGTGTTATTCCCCAGCGCAGTCTGGGTGGGACGGTGGTTCTGAACTGTGTGAATGGTTAATCCCAAAAGCTCTGTGCTAAGCACTTACTGTGTGTGCAGCCATTGAATTTCATTTCTCTTTAAAGTCTTTGCTAAACAACAAAATGCGCAAAAATCAGCAGCGTTGATAGTTGCACAAGAAGGCATGTATTTTATTCCTAATTTTTGTCTCTGCTTCTGAATACCGTCATTATTTAACTGTTATCTTTCCCAGTAGCCTTGATGAATTAACAGTCTGCCTTCCAGTCACTTTTCCAAAACGGAGTGAGTTCCTACTTTTTATATATATATTTTTTTTTACAGACCTCAACTTATAGCCATGAAAATCATCTCTCTTTAGGACAGCCCTGCAAAAAGAAGGAAGTTTGAGAATTAAAGCATTACTGGTAGAAATGCTTATCTGAGCCTATACCTCAGTCCTCTCCTTTCTGTTGGTGTAGCAGTGGGACTCGCATCTCGCACATGTGTGCAGGTTTCTCTTCAGAACTAATGCTTGCTAATGCTAAAGACAAATACATACTTATGCAATTGTCTTGTTCTGGAATCTTTTCTGTAATGTTATTAGATGTGCTGATTTTTTTTAATGCTTTTTTTTTTTTTTTTTCCCCTCAGCTCCAGCTTTCTCTTTAATATATATTGGTGGAAGTGTAGAAATTCCTAATCTGACTTACACAAATGATCTCAATGATCCCAGCTCCCAGAAATTCCTTCTGCAAGCGGAAGCAATCCAAAATTATGTAAGTCCCCACATAGGTACAGCAGTAATTTAATAATATTTATTGCAGAATCAAATTAAGATTGTGGAGAAGACTCTGGTTTGAGTCACAATTTATTTTTTCAAAAATAATGAATTTAAAGCATGTTTTTTGGAGGTGTATGGCTTTAGGAATGCAGCTAGACAGCTGGGTCTTTCTCTCTCACCACAAAGACAGCATTTCTGAGGTCTTTTCGATTGTGGATAAATTGTTCTTGAAGGAGTTCTTCTGTTTTGCTTTTATATACTTGAAAATTCTTCCTTTCCATGTCTTTTCTCTTTGAGCTGCTTTTGTTTGTTTTTAATTATAGCTCACATTTAATCCATAGCCATTTTGATTTGTTCTGCTTTTCTTCCCTAAGCAGCACTTGCTTTCTTGTACTGCTGATGTGTGTTCGTATTTTTGAGATCAGTAGTTTCTTTGCTACTTGCAATCAGAAGCTTTAAACACAAAGCAGTTCTCTGTTAGCTTGTATTTCCCAAAAGGGCTAATTGAGTGTCTCTGAGTGCACAGCCAATACATTTTGCTTGCATCCAGATTATATGACAGAAATTTGCCACAAATTTTAGGTAACTAAAATATGTGAAGCCTTATAGCAAAATATAAGCAGGTTTGGTAAAAGCTTATTTTTATGGTTGATTATCAAGAGCTTTTTCAATGTTCTTATAAATGTGATCACTTTAAATGGAAACGTGTACATCTTTATGATCCCTGTTGGAGACATTTGTTGAAATCGTTTGATTAGTGTCTGTCATGCGTGGGGGTTTCGGAAGGGAAGAAAAAGGATAAATGCTTCCCAACATAAGACACGTTATTGACACTAAAATATAACACTTCAGAGTAACTTTCACAATTTTTTTTACCTGTCAGCTTGCAGAATCCTATGAGTGTTCCACCTTGGGAAAGTATTATTTGAAGTCCATAGTGGCTGCTTTCAGGTAGGTACTTTTCCAGTATGTGGTTCAAGTATGAGATCTTTAATTGTGTTAGTCTTGTCTTTTTGGCAGATTTTACATTTGTTACTTTGGGATAATGTGCTATGATACTGGGATAACACGCTTGATAACAGGAAATGGAAGACAAGATAAAAATGTGAACTAAGCACTAAGATAATAGCGTGATCTCAGATTAGTGAGAGAAATGAAACCTGATTAATGGTGCCTTTGCTCTGTAATCTGTTCTTCCACTTCTGTTTACTGGCGTCATATCCCAGCATGGTTTTTTTTTTTTTTTTATGCATAGCTTATATTGGTTTTCTCTATTCAAATGAAGCTCCTTTTTAACCTTCCAAAAAGAAAATTTAAAAGCATGATGTTGGGCAAGGCACTCTATTTAAGCTCCTGCCGAGAAATGTAAACACTTTGAGCAGATGGCTGTTACTGTCCCAGGTTTCTGAAAACTGGAAGGTCAGTCCATCAGCAGTTTCAAAAGGACAATTGTGATGGACTGTCTCTTTGAATCACTGAAAAAATACTTTATATGTGTATCTGTACATATCATTTATATCAAGAATTGTGTGAAATGCTGTATCAAAGCACAAGCATAAAATTATACTGTTGTGTGGTATGAAGCATCAGTTAAAATATATCAAGGAAAATGTGCCTGGAACTGGAATACGATCTTTAAAGCATATAGTGTATACAGCAGTTATGAAAACATCTAATTCCATAGAATTACTTGCAGGATTTTCTTTGAGGAGTAGATTTTTGTCTGAGTGTTAATGTTTAAACAGCTTTTCCTTGATTTTTCTAGTGTGTGTGTGTGTAGACATTTATATATAGATCAGTTGTTGAATGAGAGAGTTGTTGAATGCCACCATGTTCAGCTGTAATTCTTTGCATGGCTGTTCAACTGACCAGCAAACCAGTGCAAGCCAGAAATGCAATGGAAATCATGTTCAAAATATTACCTAGAGTGTATTTATAACACTGATGCTTTTTCCCATACACAGTGAAGGAGAGTATGGACTTCGAGCTTACTACTGGAATACATTCTGGGCACCACAAGATATTACTGGCTCTCTTAAAAAGTTAATCCCATTGGAACAAAAAGAAATGAGTAGTAAACAAATACCTCACATATTCAGTACTTCTGGGGAAGGAGATTTTGATCTTGTTACAATGGAGCTTTTTGGTAACAATGTACCTGTCATTTAATATCTATTCTGTCTGTTTTTCTTTCTCTGGTTTTCATCTTGGGTTTGTGTAATTGATGGTTACTAAATTTCAGTTTCAGATTCTACAGAATACGATGTGATGTTAAAATCAGGTAATTATTCTTCAATCCCATATTACTCATGTTACTTTTGGGGAGAGAAAAAAAAGAAACAACAGGAAAAAAAAAACACCCCTGTAATAGGAAAATGACAGTTTCTTAGTTATCTTTGTATTTGTGGGGCTTATGAATCAAAGCAAACTAGAGATCTTCCCTGGCTTGAAAATAGCTTATTGCTTTTATGTTCTGAGTAGCGTGGCTGAAATTGAGAACTCTGCACTAAACTGAATTGAACTGTGCATCCTTGGCATCTTAAAAAAAAAAGCTGCTGCATATAGCTAAACACAGTTTTGTTTTCTTTGTGGCTAGTTTATTCGTAGTTAGTGATCATTCAAATACAGCAGAACTTTAGTTGATTCTTCCCAGTTTTTCGATACCATGCATGTTTCAAGTTTGGCTTCCTGTGCTTAGTGTTCTCATTGCATGAAGGTAGGTCAAGAAATGGCAAAGGAAGAGGTGGGTTTCTGGCAGAGATTGTAGCTGTTGCAGACAAGTCCCCTCCTGCTTGCTGAGTGTGCAGTGAGCTAGTGGTGATGGTGAAGCTCTGTGCTTTGTTGTCCAGAGCAGGAGGAGGTGATGCAGCTTCGAAGGGGAAGGGGTAGATTTGTGACAATAAGTCAGGAGGAGATTAAAATAATCAAGAAACACAGGTAGGTGTTTATTGCCACCACTTCTGAATTTTTCACCAAATATTTGTTTTTCAACTTCAGTTTTTCAGCCACTAATCTAGATTCTTTTATATAGCAGTATCCTTTGACCTGTATGCAAAGCCAGGTAACAACAGAACTCTAACTCTGCTGAATCCCAAGAAGTCTTTTTATCAATGGAGGTTGCGAGTTCCTCCTAACTGCGTGGTGAGACTGGTAGTTACCTCTTTGCATGTTGTAGCTTCAGAGAGCTGTGCATCTCACCGTTTGTCTGCATATGATTTTCTTCTTCCTCTGCAGAACAAGATCATTACAAGGTATGTTAGTATGGGGCAAAGAGGTTCTTGAGCTGTAGAGAAGCTCTCCAAAACTGCTGAGTATGAAATTGATCTCAATCAGGCTTCTAAAATATAAGAGATTCCAAATACAATTTCATTAAAAATCTTCTATAAGGTATATGATAAAAAAGGTCTTTCATATTATCCACCCTATAATCGTTTATAAATTTCAGTGGGTTTAATTTTAGACTATGAATCTTTTTTTTTTTTTTTTTACTATGTGGGAGTTCATAAAATTGTTGACACAAATATACAGAGTGTTGTATTTTACTGATTGTAGAAAATGCCTATTTTATAGTAGTTCATTCACAGTTAGACCTCTGTTCATAAGAGGCTTATGTCTATGGAAGGCTTCATCCCCAGTCTCTTTGAAATCCACTTGCATAAATGAGATCAAACGTTACTGTAATTTTCAGCAGCCACACTAATCCTAATCTTCCAGAGTCAAGTTTTACGTGTGGACGTGTTGTCTACCATGAACAAAATAGTCTAACAAATTTTAGAATGGTTTCATTGACAAAAAATAACAGACCTACTAGGTAGAGAAATAGACGTTAGATGAGCATGCAGATTCAGTTAGCACTGTCTGAAATGTATTTATTTAGTTGTGCTTTCAGTTTCTTGAAATCAGGAGATAGTCCTCTTCAGCTCTTTTGACGGACTTTGGTCTCTGTTCTTAAGCAACAAGACAATAGACCTCATCATTGTTGGTAGATTGTCAGAAGGCCAGATTTATACAGACTAATTCCTTCTGTAATTAATCAAACTTTTATTGTCTCCAAATCAACAGCACTGCACATAGGTAGCATAGTGTGGAGAATCCCACACCTGATGCTGGGCTGCATACGCTCTACTGCTGACTATGGGTTATTTCCTGAACTATTTCTCTGTTGTGCAGTGGCTCAGTCTATTATGATCCAGAAATGGATAGTCAACCATGTGCATGAAAGCACAGGAAGCTAGCAAAATCCACAAGTATATGACGCAACATGTTTAGAAAACACTGATGCAGTAAGTCATAAGTAAAATATCAAGAATATGTATGTGTATTGATGTCTGTCTATCAAAGAATTTGATTTGAACAGCAGAGAAAAGAATGCTGCGACTAAAATGGCATTGAATGCTCTTACGATATCTACAAACAAACCAATTTTCTTGATTACTTCTATTGCCAAAGTAGCAAATGTGCCTTTTTTCTTATGCCTGTTAGTTTTCTACTTGAAATTTTTCACACACATAGAATTGTAAATTAATGAAAAGAAATACTAAATACACTGTAGATTTAAAAATACAATAAATAGTTAATTAAGAGATGCATGAAATAGCAACTCATGTTACAAGGAACATTAAGTACTCAGGCTTCAGGATATAAATGAACTCATAATTATTTCAAATTAAAGAATAAAAAGAACCGCCACAGATGGAGCTCTATGTCTCTTGGGATGTGAAATCAAACTGAATGCTAAAAGGCTCATTATCTGTTGCATAGATGCTATGCGACACTGCTGAGCTGAGCACTTTCTGGCTTTTTCATCACTGCCCATTGCTTCTCAGTACTGCAACTGTTATTGAAATAGCCTAATCTGGCACTGCCTTTCTGATATTTCTACAGGTCTGGAAAGTCCAGCACACCTGTTAGAATGATCATCACAGATATTCTTGCCTAAGTTGCTCAGCAATGATGCAGGGACTTTGCATCTCATGTAGTATCAGTGAGGTGGAACAGTTAAGGAAAAATAGTAGTTGGGGAAGTACTCCTGAAACAGCTGGTTGGATCAGTGTCATTTCTGCCCAGTTACTCAAAAAAGGTGATTGGAATGTCAGAAGTTTTTCTTCTATGCAATCTTTCGAATATTTCAGGTGGTGCGGCTCTGGAGCCTGGGCTCCTCCAGTTATACGTTTAACTTCTTCTAGTAATGTCATGTTACTTACCATCTCACTGGACCGCAGAGAAGAAAGGAATATACTAAAAGCTCACTTTCAAGCAATCCCTAAAATCAGTAAGTGACTAACATTAAACAAATGTGTGACGTAAGCTGCCAGGGCATGCTGCTGCCTTGCGTTCAACTTTCCATCACCCAGAACCCCATGTCCCTTTCCAGGATTATGCTATTTTCAAATCTGTGTTAGTTTATTATTATTATTCACAGCATACTTAAAGAAAGGCAATAACTATAGGGGATGGGCATCTAAGAGAGAAACTAAAACCTCATAGATGCAGTTCAAAAGTGATGCATGTTTTCAGCCTCAGAACCAATACATTCAAAATTTTGGTTTACGTGAAATTAGTCAGAGGTATCATTTCAGAGGACTGAATGCTTTCTAACTGCTGAAAATGTTCACAGGAAGGCCAGAGGTAAATTATAAGTAATAGGATTATTCCCTGCTCTCCACATTTCATTGTTTTTTCCATTTCATGTCTAAGAAAATTTTTAAATTAAAAAACAAACAAACTTCCATCAGAGGTATTCCATATTTAGTTTCAACTGCAATGTGATTTTTTTTTAATTTATTTTTTAAAGAGAAATAAAGAGTGATTCTCTGTTAATCCAGGATAAAACTGAGTTTAATTAGTTCACAACCCATTATTCTAACTCTGCGCATAGAGAAGTATCCCAGCAGGAGAAGTAGGCTCCTCACTTTAACCCGGCTGAGATAACTGTGTTTCTTCCTGTTACAATTCTCCTCCAGTGTGTGGTGGTCATTATATTTCCTGGAATGGAAGTCTGAGTTCCCCTTACTACCCAAGTTACTACCCACCAAACATTGACTGCAGCTGGATCATCCGAGTAAGTTCTGGGAAGTATTCTGAGTTGTGGTGACTTTGCTTTATGTGATATAGACATAAAACTGGGAGTAATGTCTTTTTGATGTTGGTGAAATGAAGGGAAAACATAATAAGACCACTGCACCTGACTTCTCAGGCACCTTGTTTTCTTCTTCTTATGTACAAGTGCAAGCTGTGGAAGAGAAGGATTTCCAAAAGACTGAGTGTTTGCACATGACTGAAATAAAGTGGTGGACAAGATGACAATTCCTAGCAGCTGGAGCAAACTATTCATAGTCCCCGGCTTTATTTCTATAACAGAGAGACAAAAGAAGTTCATGTAACTCATGTCTCAAACAGTGCACATTACGCTATTTCCTTGAGCTCTGCATCAGAACCTTCTTAAATTTTTTTATTTGACCTTCCAGGAACATGTGGTGAGAAACATATTGTGAGCATCAGATATAATGTTTCCTGCTTGCTGCAGAAAAGCTTATGTTTCTTATCTAGCACAGTCTGGCCAAAGGTGGGGCTGAAAATGTTTCTATACATGTTCAAGGTAGAAAAATTTTGTTTATTCAAAGGTCCTGCTGTGAATCATAAAAAATGAAAATCATATTTTCAATCTGTTTATAAGTAAAGCATGATTTATATACTATCTCAGCAGCAGACTTTTTTATTTTGTGGTTGTGTTTACTTATCTTTTTTTTTTTTTTTTTAAGGCACCCTCACCTGCCTACAAGCTCTCATTAAAAATCCTCGCAATACAAATTCAAGAGAAGTCTCCAGGGTCCAGTAAATGTGATAAAGACTGGTTAGAAATTGATGGAGTTAGGTAAGTTAATATACTATTTTCTGACATGCTATTTTGTACTTTATTGTTCTACAAGTCATACTAAAGAAAAAGGTCTCACCAGACTTGTTTCCACTGAATTTCAGCAGAATAGTACTTACTCCTGCTTTAGTACTAAACATTTGTCATTATTATTATTGTTAATTTAAGCATACATCTTCCACAGCGATAAATATTTACGTTATTGTTTCTTTTGAGAGCAATGATGAAAACTGAAGGATTTTATGCAGCTGCAATGGATCTGAGTATTCCTGGCTATGATCTCAACATGGGTGTTGAGCTTGCATAATTTGAAATTTCACTTCCTATGCCAGTTACTCTTTAATGGTTGTAACTGTTTTCAGCAAATAATGCAAATAAAAATGTTTCTTCAGGGGGAAAAAAAAAAAGCATTCAGAGCGATCTGTCTCTTGGAAATGAATTGCATTGATATGGTAATAGATGTTGGTTTTGGTTAAATGATTTTCTTACTAGATATGTAGTCTTTTGAGTTTGCAGACTCAAATGGGGAATCTAAAGTCAAGCATGCTGAGAAGTGGTTGGTATTTATAAAGCAGACTCTGACAATGATTATCTTGCTTTCCCAGAAAAGTTGTGGATATGGTGGAGTGAAATGGAAGGTATTTGTTAATATGCTTTCTAATACTTCTGTTGGGCTGAAAAACACTTAAAAAAATTAAAAAAAAAAACAAAAAAAAAACAAAAAAAAAACCAAAAAAAACCTTGTCTTTTATTGCATTGCTTTAAAGCTTTCTGGCATTTGTACCCTTTAATAATAGGAAAAGCAGCTAGGTGGTAATGCTTAGTTTGGTTGGAAATGGACTCCTTTGATTTTTGTCTTGCCAGATACTGTAAAGATATTTCAGAAAATGGCAGAAGCAGAGAATATGGCTATTCTGTTGCTATCAACTTCCATTCTGATGAACTAGTCACCCATAGAGGATTTTATATTGAATATAGAGCCTTCAGTAACACAGATAGTAAGTGAATACACATGCACTTTAAAAGGAGCTTACAGAAACCATTTTTGACAGACAACATATTTACAAATCAACTTGCCTTTTTGCTTATTTTTGAGAGTAATATTTGAAATGCTATTGTGTGTTATGTTAACATTAACTGAACAAATATATCTGAGATATTAGGGGAATGTTGGTTTTAGAAGCTTTTACTTATTTCCAGAAATATTCTCTTTTTGTTTCTGAACAGGCTAACTTCCTTTTGCTAATGAAATTCTAGGGAGTAGAAGTTCTCCATGACTTCAAAAGATCACACTGTGAAACTTCAGATCCTCAGCTTACTTGACTGAGTGTAGTTCTTTTAATTGGTGACTTAAAAGTATTTATGTATCAGAGATTCTTTTCTTACAGAGGAATTCCTACTTTGAGCTACTAGTACTGGCTGAGTAGTGTCTTTTCCTCCTATCAAGGCAATAAAAAGAAGAAAATAACTCCAAATTGGAACTGACTACATAAATGTGGGACAAATTAGTTTGGCCCTTCAGCCTTGTCTAACTGTTAATTTACCTCCAGTGCTAGAGGAGCAAAAACTAAAGTTGACCTGATCTAAGGAAGAATGACGTGCTTACAGCCCAAAATGCCAACAGTATCCTGGGCTGCATCAAAAGAGAAAGGTAGCCAGCAGAGAGAGGGAGAGGATTGCTCCCTTCTACTCTGCCCTTCTGAGACCCATCTGGAATATTACACAGGAAAGATGTACAGCTGTTGAAGCAGGTCCAGAGGAGAGCCACAAAGATGACCAGAGGTTTGGAGTCACCTCGCTTATGAAGAAAGGTTGAGGGAGCTGAGTTTGTTCAGTCTGTAGAAAAGGCTCCAGGATGACCTAATTGCAGTACCTAAAGGGATTTTATAAGCAGCAATTAGACCAACTTTTTACATGGCAGTGATAGGACAAGGAGAAGTGGTTTTAAATTAAAAAGTGTGACTTAGATGTTAGGAGAAATTTTTCACTCAGTGGTGAGGCTGTGGCACAGGCTGCTTAGAGAAGCTGTGGATGTTCCATCCATGGAGGGGATCAAGGCCAGGTTGGATGGAGCCCTGGGCAGCCTAATCTGGTGGAATGTAACCCTGCCTATGGCAGGGTGGTGGGACTGGATAATCTATAGGTCGGTCTCTTCCAACCCAACCCGCTATATGATTCTATGATTTTTCTAGCTTGTCCTCAGCAGTTTGGATGCACAGATATAGCATACGTTCCTTAAGTAGTCTGTCTGACTAGTGGAAAGGCTTTTCAGATGGTAGTGATGAATTAGATAGTGGTAGGGCAATTATTTGTGTGCACCTGTAATCAGATTATTTTAGGGAGTTTAGAGATTAACTGTTAAAAATTGTAAGATATCTATCTTTAAGCTTGCATAAAGTATATGAGTGATGATGTTTGAGAAGTCTGGAGAAGAGTCTGTGGGAAGGCCTTGGCTGGAGTGTGACAGTGCATGTAAAAGAAGATGGGAAACAATAAAGTGATACTGGAAAGAGCAACCAGAAGGTAATCCAGGTTCAGGGAGCAGAGTATAAATTAGTACAGTGAATCTTTTCCTTACTAGAAGCTAACAAGAAGATAGTCTGATAGAAATGGCAACTAACATCAAGCTGACCTGTAGCAAGTGAAGATAACACATGGCCACTAACTAGATATTTGGATAAGCATTTACAGACCTTTCTGCTTCAGGTTGTACTCCAGAGCAGTTGAACTGTGATGATGGAAAATGTAAGCATCAGCATAAGACCTGTGAAGGTGATGATAGCTGCAGGGAGGACAGCAGTGAAAACAACTGTTGTAAGTATATATTTTTTTACTGTTTTCCAAGAGATGGTGGAAGGCAGAAGCGGAGATGCGCTCAATTTAATTTTTAGTGGAAAACTTTCTCATTCAATTTGTGAATCTTCCAGTAAACATGCAGATTAGAAATACAGTTGAATGTTCTGTATGTGAGAATCCAAACCAAGGTGTTGTTTTTTTCTCTTCAAGAAGTACTTTTGTAGTCAATGTCCATTAACTTCCTCAAAATGGCTTTAAGCAGCCATTTCTATTTGTACTGGTAGGCACACACAATATCCCCCCTCACACACACACACACACAAAAAAAAAAAAAACCTCCAGACTTGTTAGAGGGTTGTTTCTTCCATTTTTTTCTGTGAGTTCAACTTGTTTGACTAAGCATACAGTATACATTTACATAAAATCTTTAGATTTGCCTATCCATAGAGAGAGGGTTGGTGAAGAGGAAAGAAGGTTAATGTCATCTCCAAATGCCTGTTAGTAATCCAATTAAGTACACAAAATCAAGATGCTACTTCCTGAACTTAACAAATGAGTGCATCTTTAACTACTTTCTGCCACAACTTAGCTGCTAAGTATTCCCCGCTCTGTTTTGCAGCAGGAATGATTCATGCTGCTGTCACGACTGGTTGTCACTGCTTAAGATAAACAATATGCTCAGTCTCCCAATAAGGACCTGCTGTATTTTAACCTTTCTTCTCCTACTGATTCCTGTGCAAGTCCAACATAAGGCGTAACCACAAGGATTTACCGGGATTAAAAATGAACCTTAAGAGATGTCCTTAGGCCTATAATCTCAGTGACTAAAAGTAATGACAGTACCGTTATATGAGAAATCTGCTTAATACAATCTAATTTGCAAAAGAACTTTGAATTCAATTCCAAAATGTGGACCTATTTTGGTAGTCATCCTGTTTCCCATCACCTATATAAAGTGAGCGGAAATGCTTCTGAATTATTTACTGAATTTAGTATTCCTATGTACTCTTTCTCAGCACCAAGTACAAGTTTTGTAGTAGTAAAAACATAACATGCATAGTGTAACTAGTTTATGGGAGAGTCTAGAGCTGAAATTAATAAAGTAAAATCAAGGATAACAGTGATTTTATTTGGAAGATCTGTGTCTTGCTGTGCGTTTCTGTTAAAATAGCAAATTCTCCTCAAATGCTGCCTGATCAGTACCAAATAATGTAAGGGACAAAAACATTACAGTTCTGGGACTTTTGTCCTTTTAGCACGTACATGTCTTTACAACACCATTACGGACAGTGCTGGTACTGCTAATGTCTCCTTGCATTTTGCCACTATAATGTTTGCCTTGCTTTGAATCTTAGGTCCTTGATGTAGCCAGCAGAATGTCCTTGTTTGCTGGAAAAATCCTTACTGCTATTTCAAGATCACTGTAAACAATTGATAATTATAGTGTCATAGAACTATAGAGTCCTAGAATGGGTTGGGTTGGAAGGGACTTCAAGTATTATCAAGCTCCAAACCCTCCACCACAGGCATGATAGCAGTGGATAGATCAGAATTTCTATATAGCAAACTATGATAGTTATTAACAAAAAATCTATTGGAGATTGCTGAACTTAAAAACAAAAAGATGATTTCTGAGTAATATCTGCTCTGTAAATGGGTGATTTGTAATGAGAATATTTCTAGTATTGGTAAAACGATAGATCTGACAAGCCTAGTTTACTCACTCTAGAGTTGAAATCAGAGTGCAGCTGAAGGCTGTGGTGTCTTTCTTCAGGGATGACTGAGATTTAAATAAGTGTGATTATTAATCCTTTTCCACAGAGTGAACTGTTTACACTAGCACAGACTATGACTTCAGACAGATTGGAATGTGTGGCTTTGAACAACACTTGAAACAGAAGAGTATGTGACACTGTCTTCTCTCTCATTTCAGCCTACAAAAGTTGCTTGCCTTATACTTACAAATGTCTGAATGGAAAATGCTTGCTGAAACCAAATCCTGAGTGTGATGGGAAAAGAGACTGCACAGATGGATCAGATGAAATGAACTGTGGTGTGGTAACAGTTATTTGAAAATTAGCTAAAGACATCACAAGCGGAGTTAGGAATTGGTGCCATTGTCAAGTATTACTATATTAAAAGTTGATAACATCAGATGTGAGTTTTAAAAAAATTCCTGGTAACTTTTGCATGAAAACGGACATCTTAAATGCTTGTACTCATTTTAAACTTACTGATCTATTGTCTGTGATTATTTATTTCAAGCAATGAGTGTTTCCAGGTTGTTAAACTGGTAGATCTTGTTGCTTGTTCCATCTGAAGTAAATTCAAAGACTCATGGAGCAGTGTATATAAGTAGGGAAACAATAAGATCTTATTCCAGTAAACTGTTGAAAACAGCCCAGTTTAGGATTGTGTTTAAATGTTTTTTTGGGTTACTAGCCTCTTAGGGAATCTGTAAGGGAGGATAAGCAATGTGTGGTTTATTCCTTACCCATCCATTGAGTGAAAATGGGCAAGTACCTGTATCATTTTTTCCAATTGTAAGAAAATACTTCTTCCCCCTCCCCCCCGATGGCCTTGTGGTCTGTAAGTAAATGTTAGTTTGTGTTAAGCATAACCAAATAAAATGACCTTGTGTTTTCTTTTACTACTTTTTTCTTTTATTTCTATTAGCTTGTGGAAGACACCAGTTTAAGAAAAACAGGATTGTTGGAGGTGAAGATGCACAATCTGGAAAATGGCCTTGGCAAGCAAGTTTACAAATAGAAGCACATGGCCACGTCTGTGGTGCATCTGTTATTTCCAAGAGGTGGCTTGTATCTGCTGCCCATTGCTTTCTGGATTCTGATTCCATAAGGTATGGAAAGATTATGCTGTCATAGACTTCAGCAATTTGAAGTTTGACAATTTTGCAGTACTGCTTTCAAAAGTCTGTAGTAAGTACTTCATGTTTCGATAAATTGAATCAGGTATAACTGTGACATTATAAGTACATGAACCCTCAGTTTGGAAGTCCCAAATATTTGAAGTTGTTTTTCTGCTTCTATCTCCAGTGAATCCTGTTTGATAAAACACACTGCTTTATTTTTTATTTAAAACAAATGCTTTTTTTCTTTTTTTTTTTTTTCCCCCCCAATGGTAATGGCCCTTTTCTCCCAAGGAAATGGTTACTTAAGGAAGGTGTCAAACTCACCAGAGTTCATTTTAGCTAGTGTAAATTGAAAAGACATGCTTCTGATGTGTGACAAGGCAGAGAGTTTAGTAACGCACTTTGTGACTTCCAGAGCTCTGTGGTTACATTTTGTAAAACAGAAAGCCATACATTTTCATTTCAGTGATTGAAAGTATTCAGTTGCTGAGAATGAGATTGTATGCATGACAATACACTAGATGTAATTTACAATAAAGATTTTATAGCTTTTTTGTAAGATAATCTGGTACTTGTGCAACATACGGCGCATGTTCAGACAAGACTGAGATCATATTTTTGCTTGTCAAGCACATTGCTCTTGATGCAATGTGTACATGAGTTCCAGTAGTATGACTGCATATTAGTTTTCAAATTGGTGACATTTTGTACTTCTGCGCTTCACTTTCAAGGCAAAACAATTGCCTTCGTGCTAACCATTTTAATGACCCCCACTATCACCCACAGTGTTGCATACAATTGTGGAAAATGCATTAATGCCCTAGGGAAAGAGGCCACACTGAGTAAAGGCTGTAAATACTGCAGAGATAAATATTGCAGTGCACTGCTTGCGTCTGAGATGTAAATCTAGCTTTTATTCAGCACAGAGAAGTTTTTTCAGAGAATTTCCCTGAGCTGTATATATATCCCAGTTATATTCTTACCTGAGTAGGTGACCTCTCTTTTCATACACAGAAATGTGTATGTGTATGAGGATTTTTTTCAGTTCTGTATGCTCTGGTGCATCTTGATTTGACCTGAATTCTAATCTGAGGCCTGAGAGTTTTACTCCATTATCAATTGATGTAATTACAGTCAGAGAATTCTCAGAACAGCTGTTCATTTGTGTACTGATTAGAGTTTTGATGATGTGCTTTAGACAATAAACGTTTGAAAACTGTGGTGACATGCAGCAATAGGTTATTGCTGTAGCTAAATAGCCACTTTTGAGTTTAATTATCTAATCTGCATGAAGTAATTTTATAATTAAAACAGACGTGTTATTTAATAGAATTTTGACCAAGACCCTGAAGAACCACTGCTAGTATGAGAAGAAGAATATGTGCTTTTGAGGCTTGTATGTCAGAACAGTTGACTTTGGCCTGTTTCCTGGTGCAAGAATGTCAATAGCAATACTGACTTTTACCCGAGACAAGTGTTGTTGAAAGTATAAATGTGATGATAACAGAGCTCTGAGAAACCCACTGCCAATAGCTCGGTCTGGTTCTGCTTTGGTCATTGCCTATGGGCAGCATTAGGACCGATAGCCTACCTGTCCATCTATTTATGCAACAGATTTCTGGTGGGTCAGTTGGGGCTGATCTCTGTACCAAAAGAAAATGATACAGTCCACTGCACTACAAAGAAAAACTGCATGATTTACCACAGCATAGCATATGTCATTGTGTTTTCATCATACTTGAATAAAAGAGTCAGCTTTGAAAGTATTGCAGAATACACAGGATGCTTTGCTTACTGTAAAGATGACTGAAAAATGTGCTTTTCCAGGAACTGATCTTATAGCTTTAAGACATTATAATTTCAAGATGGTAATTCAAACCATTATTTATTGTTCTAGGGGGCAGAGACTATAGAACATCTATTTTCATAAGTGTTTATGGTTCTACCTATGGTTCTACCCCATTCATTTTGTTTTGATGAATCTCATCAAATACCATGCCGTTCATAAAATGGAATGAACTGAAACTGCATTGCTTTGCAATGGGTTGTTCTAAAAACATTCTCTTTACAGATACTCTGTTCCATCAAGGTGGAGAGCATATATGGGCTTACGCACTGTTAATGAAAAGAGCAATCATGTAGCTATGAGAGCAATCAAAAGGATTATTGTCCACCCACAGTATGACCAATCTATCTCAGATTATGACATAGCCCTGTTGGAACTGGAGACACCTGTATTCTTCAGCGAGCTGGTACAGCCCATTTGTTTACCAAGCAGCTCTAGAGTATTTCTTTATGGAACTGTCTGCTATGTAACTGGCTGGGGAGCCAAAAAAGAAAATAGTATGTTCATTTCCTGGATGTACTTCTTGCAAGTTTGGCTTAATTTTAAACATTAACAATGAAATATTTATAGTCTTCAGAGAAAATACTTCTGATTTAAATAATAGTTCTATAAAAAAAACTTGAAAATATCTTATAGCGAGGCTGTAAATTCTGAATATACTTGTAGTGGGCAGTAAGTATCAATACACATACTGTGTATGGGGGTCAGAGATGATGTCACAGGTCACTGAAAAACAAATGCATTACATTTATGAAAAGCAAGCCCATTTCATCTTCACAGTTTCATTTATCCAGTGAATAGATAACAATCTGCATTCTAGTCAAGAAAACAGGAACTTGGAAATACAGAGGAGAAAGACTTTGTCTCTAAGGCTGTGGTTAAGAATATGGAGCCCCTGAAATAACTGCAAGAATATGGTGTCTTTTGGTTTTGTCTGCCTTAACCAAAGGTAAACTCATGTTTGTCCCTGGAGGAGTGCTGACTGCAGATCAGAGCAGCGTGCTGCAGTGAGGAGGCAGGAAGAAAAGCAAGCAGAATTAGAGCCACAGAGGAACCTGTAGGATCTTGGCACTGTCGCATGGGAGCCAGCTTTGAGACATGAATGTAGACAGCTCCTCAGCATTGCATTAATCTCCACTGTTGTGCTGAGATCAAATCCTTCACGTTTGATCAGAAGCCATCTGCTGTGGTAGTGTTGGCTTTCCTAACATGCAAAAAATAATAAATAAGTAAATAAGTCTAAGATAACCGCTTAATAGCCTAATAAGTTGCAAATGTTTTTTTTTTTAATGATGTCTTCTTATACTATCTTTTATCAAAATAATTTAGGTAATGCTTAAAATCAATCTAAACGTATGTGGAAAACAACATGTTTTTGTCTTCCCTATTTCATTCCCAACTCACCCAAAGAGCCTGATGAGTAAGCAAACTTCTGTTCATCCAGATATTGAAAAGGTTATGCTCACTATCGGGCCAAAGCATGACTGAGGATATGTAGTTCACAGCAGCACCTTATGCCAATGCTTTAGTATGGACTCAAGTTCCTAGTATGTCTTGTGACTTACATGCTTGAATTTCAGTCTCCTTTTGCTTCCACTTTCATTCCTTAGCTCCTTATCTATAAGTGAAAGGATGGGAAACAACACAGGAATTTTCTTGGCTAGGCTATACACAACATTTAAAGACAACCATAGTGTAAATAACAACAAAAAGCTTTGAGCACAACTTAAAATGGCATTCAAAACTAGTTACATTCAGTGGTATGTTGTATTTTTTATAACTTAATGACTTTTTACTGCTATCTGGCAGAAAAATTTCATAAGAATAAAGACTGAGGAAATGGGAAGGGAATACTGGTGGTGCATGTGGACTACTTTGTCTAAAAACGTCTGTGTAGACAGCAGTGTTCAAAAGCTGAGGGCAGGCCACAATTAAAGAGAGGAGAACTACTCTTCAACTATCACTTGGGTAGAGTTTGAGTTTGGAGCAATTCTTCTTTGGTTTGGCAAGTGACTTCCATTGTAGAAATCTGTACTACTGTCATCTCTGCAACATTTGCTTTTTTCTAGGCCATTTTGCCAGAACACTGCAGGAAGCTAGAGTGAGAATAATTAATCAAAGTGTTTGCAGCAAGCTGTATGATGATCTCATCACATCACGCATGCTCTGTGCTGGGAATCTTAATGGTGGCATTGATGCATGCCAGGTAATCTGGGGCTTGTTAAGAAACCGAAAAGAAGTGTTAACTTTCATTAGAAAACTTCAGAGTTTGAGGTAGTATTCTTGTTGCTTTTTTCCCACTCCTTAGTAGTAGGAGAGTGAGGTGTCCTGAATTTATGATTAACTTAACATGACAATTAAAGATCTTCAAAATAAGAAAGGAAAATAAGCAGAAATAATATCTGAAACTCTTGAGAAATACAACTTCACAAGACAAGGAGTAAAATGTATTGAAAACAATTCTTCTCTGACAATTAATTTTGTTATATAGTTATAAAGCAGCAGCGTAAGGATAAAGGGAATGAAGCTAAGTCTACCTGTACTTCTTTGCTATTTGTTTTTTTTTTTCCTTTTTTGATATCTGGGTGTTGGGATTGTAGCAGTCTGAGAAATACACTGTTAACACTTGCAAACAAACACATAATGCAAAAGGTGAATTTGGTAAATGCAAGTGAAGTGCTGCCTCTTTGTTTCATGTGTTTATTCATGTGTATAATGAGTTTTGATTACATCATGGTATCATGAGTTATACGACCTAGTTTATCTGTGCACACAATCAGAAACTGTCCTTTGGACATACTGCAACCATCTTAACTCTTCTTTTTCCTTCCTAGTTGTTAGATTACTTGTGCTATTTATCAGTATTTAATTTTACTATGACGAATATCTGCTTTCTGAATTACAAACACAGTCAATTTTCCAGATTCTTAGTAAAAGGAGAAAAACATGTTACTGAACTTGGACAGTAGTAATTTGATAGAACTTTTGTATAATATACGAGGTTTACTGTTTTAATGCAATAGGTTATTTTTTACAGTATGTAACTCTTAATGGGTCAAACTTCTTTATACACAATGGACTGTTGCAGGATCCTCTTGCAGTCTTCAGGTTCTTATTCAGTGAAGCATTATTTTTGTTGACTTAATGTTCTGTTTACGTATAATCTTAAACCTTAGAATTGTTTTGTTTAAACATGTTATAATGCACCTAAGGCTTAAAGTTCCTCCAAAATATGTGTTGCATAAAATGTGCCCTTAGATTTTTAGATGGGTATTTTAACTGAATTTGCTATAGACTGTACTGTTTAATCCAGTTTCAAATACAATATGCTATGTTGTGTCCCAGTGTGCTGGCTCTCTGGGTCTTTAACTTCTTCGTCTGTAACAGATTTATTATTTCTTTTTCTTCTGTCTCAAGCATGTTTCCTGTGCAGTGCTAGAGATGAATGACATTGAAGTTCAGGAAATTCCTAGAGGACCCTGAAAACCATTGTATTACAATTCAAGCCTTGTTGGCATTCTGATTTCTTTTATTTCTTCATGGTCATTATAACCTGTGTAGTCCATTCACAGTTCATCTGAATTTTCCAAACAGCTTTCATCTTTAGCTGATGTGATAGTTACCATGAGAAATAGTGTATATTCTTTCTGGCTTAGTTATCTTATCAGTGTTGGGTGTTCTTTGGTTTTACATGGTTCCTCTTTCCAGGACCCTTCCTCTTTCTACCTTCACACAGCTCCTCCTGTCTTTCACAAGCAGCTGTATAACTGGTTAGAATATATAGACTCCTTTCTCAAGTGGCCTCTAGATCAGCCTCTTTGATAATCCAAATTGCCGGTATATCAGCACCCTTAGAGAGGGTTAACTGTTCTGGCTCAATTTGGAGGCTGTTAACTGCCTTGTATACATTAGGAGAGTCTGAAGATATCAGCTGTATTAATAAACTGTTTGGAGTTCTGTGAACTATCTGTTTACTGAAGGCGTGCAGTGAAGGTCACAAAGCATTTTTAAGTTCAAATGTGTTGTGACCTTGTGCACTGAACTAAACTGGAATCTTTAATTTTCTATGTTATGCAAACCAGAATGTTCCCTTTGAGAAGCCAGCTCTTACCTGCATATCCCTTAGAGTCTTTGTTCCTTTCCCTCACTCTACAAATGGGCTGCAGACTTGAAAATGAAGCTGCTAATACCTAACCACACTATTCTTAGTATCCTTCTATTCCTGTTTAACATCATAAAAGTTCTGTTTTCAGTCTGAGAACAGATTATGGTTAGTGGTAGTAGAGTTCCCTCTTTCCATCCCTGTCTTTTCTTCTGCCCGTTCAGCTTACAAAGAGTTGCTTTATAAATCCTGTAGTAACAGGACACCAGCGGGGAGTAATTTTTCTTCCTCTTGCCTTTGCATTGTCGCGTAGTGTGCTAATTCTGTAAGTTAAAACAAATTGAATAAATTCAACATTTTACAATACTCTGTGCGCGAATGCTAATGGATAAACTCCCTTTGTTTCAGGGAGATTCTGGAGGTCCCTTGGCCTGCACAGGAAAGGGAGACAGATGGTACCTTGCTGGCATTGTGAGCTGGGGTGAAGGATGTGCCCGACGCAATCGTCCTGGTGTATACACTAAGGTGACGGCACTTTATGACTGGATTCGTCAGAATGCAAACTGATGTGCCGTGGAGAAAATGCAGGTCATCTCCATTACAGAAGCTGCTTCCTATGTTATCATATACGTGAAAATGCTGCTGGCTGTTTTACTGTGAAAGAAAGCACTATCTTAATGCAGAAATGATCATTTGTCATTCCCTAGGGGTAACTGTTTGGATTCAGACCAGCTTCAAATAACTTCAGGTTCCTTATAGATTCATATGTCTTATTCCCTACCAGCAGAAACAGGGTTCCCTTACAAATTAAATTTGTATCTGGAAAAAAAAAAAAGTCCAGCCAAACTGTTTTTATCAGATTTTCCCTCCTTCCACCTTTGAGATGTATGTGCATCTCTTTTGCTGTCTACCTTTGCATAGGCATACATGGATACTTATGCTCACATCCCATATATACTCACATATATTCCCTTACTGATGTTACAGGATTCTAAACATGAGTAATTCCTTTGTTTTTTTCAAGCTATAAATAATATGATCATGTATAGTATACAGATTCTAGATGAATTTGTGGGTTAATTTTGCTTCCACTTCATGGCTGTTCCTTTCTGGGCTGTCCTCTCCTGTGCTTTTCCTAAAATCACCAAATACTTACCCAGAACAGTTATGATGGAAAAAAAAAAAAAGTAAAAAAAAAAAAATTAAAAAATGGAAGTGTCATTAGTTTATTGGAATATAGTAAATAAGAGGAAATAAATATTGAATTTTAGTTAATTAAACTAAATAGAACTGCGTGTAAAAATGCATTGTGAAATATGCTTTTTTTAAAGTTCCTAATAAAGGCCTCACAAGCTATCAGTTCATCAGCAAAATGTCAGGAATTTAGAATACAGTCCCATTCCTATCATTAAAGGCTGTGAATACGTATTTGTGCATGTAACTGATTAAGATAAAACTGTATATTTGCCTTCTTTAATAATTGTTAATATCAGGGCTATTTATTAATTGCCTTGTTTGACATTAGGCTGTGATGAAATTACCCAAACCTGAATGATTTCCTTTATAAAGGAACCGGCAGTCAAATCTCAATTGTAGTGCACACTGGAGTGTAAGCTGGTTTGTCTCCTACACTTGACTATCTTTTTTTTTTTTTCCCCACCTCCAAGCAGCTTGAGGGCTCACTTAGCACCCATGCAGAAAGTGGTAGGTAGCAACTGTAGTGGAACTGTGTTGTGTTGTATCAGTCTTCAAACCAGCATGACACTGGTCCCTGGGTCGTAGAAGGCCAATGCTTCAGTGGGTGCCAGAAACTACACATCCACCTGCCTAAAATGAAAGGCTAGAGCTGCCTGAGGAGAGAAGGTACTACATGAGCAAGACTGGACAAAACACACAGTGGCATTTCTCTGGGGGCAGCTTGCAAGCAATCTGTTTCAGGACTTCTGTTTTGCTAGGAAGTCTGTCTTGTTGAATCCAGTCTTCTAGTAAAAACAAGCAAAATCTTGCAGCTCTGAGACTCTCCTGATTAACCTGGACGCCTTCCTCAGTCTTTACTGCTTTCTTATCTTCTCTTTACACTGAGAAAATACTTGTAGAGTCTAATGTTTGCAAAGTATAACAAGTGGATTGTCTCATCTGTGGCTTGAACAAGCTCTTTCTATTTTGGCATGCTTGTGGTGGGTTTGTGCTGCTTTCCTTGATGTCCTTGGTCTGCAGTGAACTGAGTTTCAATGTCATGTTTTTTGTTTTGTCTCTTTTCCTGGCCAGAAGAAGGGTTGTGCCCATATGACCGCACTGCTCTGAAAGAGATGAAAAAGGAATTAAGAGGTCCTTGGTCTCAGTGAAAGTGGAGGAGGAAATGACAGCCACACTTCTGTCATAAGATCATTGTTTCAATCTTAGCAGTAAATCTAGCTTTGAAAATGATAATCAGTTGATGAACCTATAAACCAAATTTAGCTGATTTTAAGATTCCAAAGCTGTTTATGATATTTAATAATTCTGGCATTCAATTTAATAAAAAATCTGTCTGCGTTTTCTAGAAGGTCTCAGAATCATGCTGCATATTTGGAAGTGTTTAGCTTTTAAAAAGGTGAAAAAGATGAAGCTGGTAACTTGAATATCAGTCACACCACACTTTTTTTTTCGAAAGTACATAAATGTGTGGTTCTTGTTTAGTCACTGATCTTTGGGAAAATGTGAGAGTGAGCTACTACTGAAATTTTCACACAGTGTGCTTCCTGTGCCTAACAGGGATACTGCTGCTTCATCCTTGCTGTGGTTTTGGGCATTCCCCTCACTGCTACCCCCACAACAATTCTTGTGACAAGCTTCCTACCTAAACAATACTCAAATTATATTCTGTAGGGGTTTTAATAACTATAATGGCGTAAGTCATTCACTTCTCTTTCAATAAACGCATAATAAAAATGTAGATGTCTATGTTTCCTTCATTTGGTTGTGCCTCTGAAATTCTAATCCCCAGATATGGTCAAAACTGCATTTGTACTTTGGAGTTTACATTTTTTGTAAAACTGAGCCAAACCTACCTGCATTACAAAAGCATGTATTTAAGGGCATTTGTTTCTTCTCCGTACTTCTCCTTCTTCTCCTTACTTAGAAACAACAGTTGTCTTCAGCATAAAATAGCTTTCCTGCTGTTCAGTTTGAGATAAGAGCCTAGGCCAGAAGGTTCAGATCAGTTCTTAAATTCCCGTTTTATTTAAGAATTTTGCAGTTCCATGTGTCAGAAGGGTCAGTTGCTTCACTGGCAAAAGGAGGAAAAAAAAAAAAAAAGACATTAAGTATGAAAGTTAGATCACCCAGACAACAGAAATTCAGGAGTTCATACAGAGTTCTTTCAGAAGAATGAAATAAATGGACTTTGGCATTTACAAGCTGAGATCCATAATCATTAACTCACTTGACTTAGGAAAAAATGTTGTTGTTTCAGGCAGTTCACCAGGAAGGTACAGTCTTATATATGAGTGGAAATGAAGTGAACCCAGTTTTCAACAGGAATACTTGAGAACCAGCAGGTAAATTCTCTTCTAGTGAAGATCCCAAGTGAATTCCTGTGGATTCAGGAATCAGTACCTGTTTTGATCTTGATGTCTGCTCAGCTTCATCCTCAGTACTCCAGTCTTTTAAAGATTCTCCACAACCAGAAGATGGGTCGTGGGACTTGTGTTTGTTTTTATTTGCTGATTTAAACAGAGCCTTATGCTCAGCTTCACAGAGTGCCTTTGCCTGGATGACTGCACCGTGACATCAGCAATCCAAACCTCCTTGGGAATACTCTAAGCTTAGTAGCCAGAAGAGTTGCACAATGAGAAAATCTGAGGGAGAAAAACCCATCCTCAGCGTTTGGCAGGGGAAACAAGGAGCGGTGCTGTGAGTGGATGTTCATCCAGCAGAAAAAGAAGTTGCGGAAAGAGGCTTTGTTCCCTTTTTAATCCAATGTCCTCTCTTCTGAGGCAGGAGTGTGAGCATCCTTTTGATCAAAAATAAGAGGAGTGCTCTGTGGCAAGGAAGAAGAAACCCCAGGAAGGAGTCAGAACAGAAGAAATAAGAGGAGGTAGGATGAGGAATATTGGAAGGGTGGGAGGGAAGGAGAGGGGAAAATCAGCCCTTGGTTACAGTAAGCATTTTATTTCTTGTGGCAATCTAGTGGAGAACAAATCTCAATTCACGCCATGATTTGCTTTGTAAAACCCTCAAGGGTGCAAGATAAAATTAGAAGGCCATCCCCCTTCTCTCTTCAGATTTGTTCTTCTTTTATATGGAATTAAATTCTCAATTTCCAAGTTTATGCTCCACAGTATGTGAGTAGACATAAACTCTTCTTTGGCACCTGACGCAATTTTAGACTATAGAACATCTAGAGAGGACAACTCCCAGCACAACGCTGAGTAGTGTTCAGTTCCAATTAGACTACACTGAGAGGCTAAAATTGGAAGCATTAATGGAAGATGTAAGCTCCTTTTGTAGCCCAGCAGAACCACAAGCAATGTGATACTTTCCTTGGTTTATGCTGTCGAGAACCACATCTGTTTGTCTGTATTTCACTGTTTCAGCTGAAAGCAGCAGGGAAAGCAATCCAGTTGCTTTCAAAATCACTTCAGCAAATGGCAGCACTGCTGAGGGTTAGTCACCTGCTCGTGCTTGTCAAGGGCTGGTACAGTAAGGCAGACAAACTGGAAAACCTAGTCTTGCACAGTGGAGTTATGGAGACGAGGCAAATCGATACTTCCTCACCCTCCCTTTCCTACTTGGCTTGTGCAGATGATGTTATTTGTCTTTCCAAGGATTTCCCCTTACTTACTGACGTTTTGAGATTGCTCTTGTAAAAACTATCCCAGCTCTCTCACTGTTACAGTCTTCAGCTTCATACCAGAACTGTTACTGGCATAATTACAGCTGAAACCAGAAGGAAATGAGCTGGCTCTATGCTTGCTACAGAGACAGAGGTCCTCACACAGAAACAGAAGCTATGAAAAGGCAAAGCTCTGACGGGGAGCATGAGGTTATTGAATTGCAAGAAGTTAATGGGGAGGAAAGTACAGCTGATCATAAGAAGCCTCTAAATTCTTCAGAACCTGCAACGAGCAAGGTAGGAATTTCAGTTGCTCATCTGATGCTTGTGGAGCTCCCGGGGAAATACCACACAATGACAGAAGTGGCATTTTATAGAAACTTTGTGTAGGGGTTGTTTAATTTGTTTGAGGGATGGGGAAAGGTTTCTGGCTTGAAAACAAAGACTGAAAGCAAGTAAAGTGTATTTATTTTATTTTACACGATGAAACATTCTAGTTTTGAAGTCAGATATTACCATTATTATTTTTTGGTGCTGTCTGTGAGCTTTATCTTAGGAAATAAAAGTTGTAGTTGTACTTGGTATTCTAAGTTTTGCTTTCTGTTTTCATGTACTGCCAGTGGGATCGGGCTCAAAACTAGAAGGGAGAAATGTTGAAACACACTAAAACCAGACTTTCTGAAGGAACAAATTAATCTGAAAACGGTGCTGCCAAAGAAAGAATAAGAATGTCCTGCAGTAAAGTTTGTAAATCATGCTGAATTCTTCCTCTTTGATCTTGGAGCAATTTGTGGTTGCATTTGGGTATTTATACAAGAGCGCCCCAAAGCCTCAATTAAGAGTAGTGCGTGAGTCCTGGGGTAGCCAGTGCCCAGCATTTAGCTTCAAGCTATGGGACAGACTAATGCTGCCAGACAAGCAGTATTTACTCATGAGTAGCTGTGATACAAAATTCTCATTACTTAAGAGCAGAGGGAAAATCTGTGGCAGAAATTCCACATTTCTGCGTGGGCAGATCTTTTGGGATGGCTGAACCCACCTGAGATCTTGGCAGCATTAGTCATGCTGTCTCTTCCTTCATGCTCCTGGCTAAGTTTCCTTGTGTGAGCACCATTCATCGTTTTAGTGTTGATCTGTGCCATTAAATAAACAGCTTGATTTCCTGTACCATATAGGGGGCTATCTCCTTCTCCTCTGGTCTGGTGAGCTGAACCAGCCTGCTATAGGATCAGACAACTTCTGCGGAGATTCAAAGAGAAATAGGAGAAAGGGTGGAGGAGAGAGGCTCAGCTTCCTTGAGAAACTGCCTTGAGTTTCTTTTCAGCCTTCCCCTTCCCAGAAATGTGTTTTCATCTGGGCTCTTTCTGTTGATTCTGGAATTTGATTTCCTATCCCATGAAGAATATTGGAAAATTATTATGCTCTACTTCCTGTTCAGGCAGCAGATTAATCAGAATGGCCCTGTCCATTTGGGAGAGATTTTTTTTTTTTCTCTTGCTTCTTCCTGGAGGTCTTGTGACGTTTATGGGCAGTGTCCAAGAGGGTGCTGGCCCAACTGATGAAACACCGTTGCAGAGCTGAATGTCTACTTGACATCAATGCAGTTTACAGAGCTTGATTAGCAATTAATCTTTTGTGATGGCCTGAATATGTGACTTGTATTCTAGGTGGGAGTTTGGGCTTGATAACAGTCTTGACTGATGATACAAAGCTGATGTCATCAGTGTAATGCTAGATAGTAGTTACCAATTTGTTTTTTCAGGTAAAAAAGTTATATACTAGTGTCAGGTATTAAACTGAAGGTTGTCTCTCCTAATACATTTTTTTTTTTAAATGAAGAAGGATCCCCATGTATATACATGACCACTTGAATGTGTGCTGTAAGAGAAACTGTATTAAGCCAGTTGCTCTTCATCCCCCACAGAAACGAAGTTCTCCATGGGGAGGTGTCTATAGAGGACACTTTGTCTACCCCAGTTCCTGGAGAGCTCAGATAAGCTCTTTCTGGGGATGTTCGCTCTCTCCCCCTGTGCAACTGCTGTTCCACTGAAGTTTTAAGCTAGCTGGTGGATGCCAGTTCAATTCATTAAAAAGTTTTCCATTGTGCTAGGTTCTTAGAAAGTTCAGAAGGTGAAGGAAAGGAAACTAGATTAATGCTGCATTCTAATGCTGCCAGCTAGCAGCTGGTTCCTGCCAATCTACCTATGTGTATCTCGGACAGCCCATAACATTTGCTGCGCCTCATTTGGTGCCAAAGACAAAAAGACATGGAGTTCATAGGTTTACAGTAGATGGGAGGAGGATAAATTAAAAGGAAAATATCCATTCATGCTCTTCATTCCATTTTCTGTCTGTGGAACAAATTAGTTGGCGTTTATTTGTTTTATTATGTCACCTAAACTTGTTTTTTAATGTTAGTATAGCTGGGTTAGCTAATAACTTTGCTCTTAAATCTTAGTAAAAGTTAAATGAAATGTATGTATTGTCTTTTCACTCCTACATGAACATGCATGCAAACACAATTTGTTTGAGGGTAATTTCCTTGTCATCCAGAACAAGTGAGATTTGTAATAATCTTTAAGTCTACTCAGTAGCTTCCCAGTATTCAATCTTCTGAAGAAAAAGGGAGTCAGCTTTAAAAGTCTTAATTACTCTAGTGTTTTTTTAAAGCAATAATACCTAATGAATAGTATCTCACTTGCTTTGAGTGCTGGCATCCAGGAACTATGCAGGCTAACAGCATCAACATCACAGGGGTGAATTATTTTGCAAGTTCCTCCAGACACGTTTTTAGCTGGGAGACATGGCACGCTTTAAAAGAACAGCCTGTGGGACATGCACATCAAAATGAAGTAGTTGACAAAAATTGGAAGCAGTGAAAGAACCTTGGTAGCACCTCAGCTTTCTGAGCATTTCAAAAGTTGGAAACTGAACAAATGGAGAACACTACATCTCTCAGGTAGTAGCCTGCAGGTCTATCTTCTGTCTTGCACCAGTGCTTCAGGATGGGAACCCTCGATACAGAAAATTACTTACAACAAGACTCATTTATGTTGGGCTTTTTTTTGAGTGTGTTTCTATATGTGACCGTAGAGACATGCTTAAATATTCTTCCCA